AAAAAAAAAAAAATGAAAACTAGATGTGATCAAACAGCTTAAGGCAATGAGTAAATGAGCCTGGGGGCTCAGGACCATAGTCTCAGGGGACACCATGGTCAATCAGAACAACATAATATGCGACAGCTTACTTTTGTTGAGTAGTGTCTGGGATATTAAAAATTAAAAGCTCATGAGCAGCCGTCTAAGATGTAGTTATTGGTCTCTCCATGTGTAGAAGTAAGAAGAGTCATGAAAATTGTAGATGCCTGGAATCAACTTGTCCAGCAGACTAATGGAAACATGTGAACATCCGTCTCCATGACCTTGTGACCAGAAGAACTCCATGGTGCCTAGCTACCACTACCAAATGCCCTAAATGGGCTCACCTTAGTAGGTCCTGGATAGAGTGGCATAATGTATGAACAAAACTCAAAATTATTTAAAACAAGCAAATAAACAAACAAAGACCAGGCTTATTGGTCATAAGAGACTGGAGGTGTAAACTATCAAATAATTCACAATGAAACATTAAAAGAAAAAAAAAAGAGAGACTGGAGGAACCTGATACTGTGGCCCTCTACTACCCTGGAAAGGTCTGAAAAGGATCATATCCTCTCTCAGCCAAGCAGAAGTTAGGTATCTAGGGGAAACAACAACACTAGTGAGGTAAATTCACTATGAATGATGAACAGTCAATCATTCAAAATCAAAGAGGCAACATGTACCAAAGGCCAATGGTGAGTAGGGATGGGAAGGTGGGTGGAAGGCAAAAAGGAACCTTAGGGATGAAGCAGATAACTGTTGTTCCAAGAGGAGATTTTCAATCTTTTAGATAAAACACAGTGTATTATTTGTTGACTATAAAAATGATGATCTTGTCTCAATTCATAATAAACATTAAAAAAAAAATGTATGCATGAAATGGAAAATTAACCTACACTAAATTCACAATAAATAAATATAAAGACTCGCTGTATAAAACAGAGTAATAGTTTATCTTTCTTGCATAATGAAAAACGTTTGGGGACTCTTTACAGCAACTGAGACCTACTTAAGCCTAAAAAATACAAACATGAAATTTAGCTTAGAAGCAATGATTCATGAGACTTGCCTCATCCAGTGGGTCCACGTCTGTTGTCCTCATCTTAATAAGCACATCATATGCCTGCTGGAGTGCTCTGACCTTGGGATGGGAAACTCTAACATAGGCTGGGAGACAGATAAACCACAAGCTGTAACAATGACTGAACAGACACTTGGCCCACTGAGGTGGATTTGTATAACATCTCTTGGCCAATTTATGAGCTGTTTTAATCTCCTAAAAAGAGAATAAAGGAAGATATTAAGATATTTACTAAAATAAGGGGCGACAGGGAGAGATGTGAGAAGGAAAAAGCAGATCATTTTAACATGTAAAATTGGACCCCCAAATTAGGCCCTTCACATAGTTTTACTTTCGTATTTTCTTCTTAGTAGCTTTCTATATGGTTCTTTGCGCATATATCTACAATAACACTTTACACAATGTTGTATTTGATGACAAGCATGTTTCTTCTAAAACACTAGAAACTTCTTGAGGGCAAAGATCATTCAATTCAGTCTATTCAAGCACAAAAGGCCCTCATGTACTTATGTGATGAATGAAAGAATGACTAAAACTATGTATCCCAGGCTTAATCACTGATCATTTGAGTTCCTGAATCCTATTCATGAAAAGTGTTATTCTTCCCACTCTTCTCTACCTGCTAAAATATAAGAAGTCCAAGTGAGTTCTTGCCAAGATTTTCACTCTGCCTTTCTTTGTCACCCTTTCATCCATTGCCAGTAAGATGATTCTGATCAAAATGACCCTGCACACATTTTTTGGGACCGTAAATCATTATGGAGCACAGACAGCCTCATCTTTCTCCCATGGAGTAGCTGGTGGGTTTGAACCACTGACCTGGTGGTTAGCACTCCAACACTTAACCTACTGTCAAAGTCTGCAGTAATTCTGTCACCAAGTGACTCCTTGAAAAACCCACTCAGATTCGCTGGCCTTCACTCTGAGTAGACTAATATTACCCCACTCATATGTTTCTTATGCTTTCAGGAGTCATTTCAATTAAGAAAACAGAAATAACCTATTCTGAAAGCAACATAGTCTGAAAAAGAATGTAGGGTTTGTTACCTAACAGTTTGATAGTTGTGCTGTCTACTACTGAGTTTTATGCTGATTTAGGTAAAAGAGAGGATTGTTATTGTTGTTATGTGCCGTGGAGTCGGTTCCGACTCATAGCGACCCTGTA